TTTTTTTTTTTTTAAAGTAAGCTCGACGCCCAACATGGGGCTCGAACACACAACCCTGAGATCAAGAGTCACACACTCCTCCGACTGAGCCAGCCAGGTGCCCCAGCTTGTGTTCATTTTTATTAACTTGAATTTTGAGGTTTGGTTTTATGTACTTTCTAACCTTTGCGCCTTTAATGCTTTCAAAGATTTTCCCATTCCTCAAGCATTTGCATCTAAAACATTTTTTGACCTTTTAACATTTCCCCTCTAATCAATGCCATTTTTCTTTCTTTAAGGAGTGGGGGAAGGCAGGGATAAGGCCCCTATTGAGGTTATTTAGTGCCCTAGTCACCACCACCCCTTTCATTGGTCAATTCTTTGGGGTTTTTTTAAACATTTATTTTTATTTGAGAGAAAGAGAGAGAGTGATCGGGGGAGGGACAGAGACAGAAGCTCAAGCAGACTCCACGTTCAGCACAGAACCCGATGCGGGGCTCGATCCCACAACCGTGAGATCATGACCTGAGCCAAAATCAAGAGCCGGCCACTCAACTGACTGCACCACCCAGGCTCCCCAGGATTTTCTCTATAGATGACCATGTCATCTGTGAACAAAGGCAGTTATATTTCATCATTCCCAATCTGTGTGCCCTATATTTCCTTTTCTTATCTTATTGCATTAGCAAGGACTTTCAGTACAACACTGGAAGAAAGCTCAAGAGGGGACATCCTTCCTCGTTCTTGACCTCAGTGGGAAAGGTTCTAGCTTCTCACTTGGCTTTTTGTAGATTTTTAAAACCAAGTTGAGGAAGCGCCCTGCCCCCCATTCTTAGTTTACTGCAAGTCCATGTTTTAGAAGTAAAACAAAAGAAAGGGGTCAAATGATAATCTGCCAAATACTCGATTCTATAAGCATCCGTGTACGTACCTGAATCTTCCATGGGTTCAGTTTTCACACTGATGGGGCCACAGCTGCAAGGAGAAGGGAACCCTTGTCAAGACAAGCCGGCCGGGGTGAGACGTGACCATGGGGATCCAGAAGCACTGTACTCAAACCCCCCAATCTCCAGAGCTCCACGCCGTCCTACCTCCCCTGCCCGCCATCCAGCTCAACGCAAAACTAACTCGTTCATGTAACATTAATGTTCTTAATAATCTGTTATACCATTAAAGGAGTCCATTGAACATAGTCTTAAAACCTCAAACATCCTTTTGAATAAAGAATATATAACAAAACAAGGGAAACTTTCCATGGTCTAAAAACTAACACTCTGGGGTTAGATGTGGATTTTTTTATTTCCCTTACCTTTCACTTGGGGACGTCACCGATCTCTTAGCATCCGTGACCACCAAAGACCCACCTGTGCAGGAGTAAAAAGACACACACTAGCCCCTTTCTGCACCTTGAAAATGACACCATTCGAAGGCACGTAACGTGAAAGTAAATACAGAGAGAACAGAACTCCAGCTCCAGGCCTTTACAGAATAGTAGTGGGGAGAGACCAATTCAAAGCGGCCCCCGTGTCCTCATGCCGTGTGTGTGGGCAGAGTGGGGGCTGAGGAGCAGACAGGGGCCGCAGCGACTTCCAGCAAGCCACTAAACCTTCCTGGATCTCAGTTTCCTCATCTGAAAATGGTAGTTGGGTGAGGATCAATTAAAACATGCAAAGAACGCAGAACCATGCCGGGTATGCCGGAAGCAATGAATTAGCGGGTGCGGCTATTACTGTTCTATGATGAAAATACAAGCCGTCTGGGGCAACCGTCGCCCAGTCACCCGCCGCCCCTCCCCCTCAGGTCTCCCCTTCAACATAAGCTAGGGAATTCTGGGAACGTTCCATTGCTCTGGAAACGGACTTGGCTCTGTGAGCAGCCCAAGCCCTGTGCGCTCCCGCGTGCGCCTCGTGAACTCTGCCCACCCCTCTCTGGACATCCTGTCTCTGTACCTAGGTAGTCTCAGCACAGCACCCTCTTAGACAGACCTGGTCTCTCCAGGACAGGTACGGCCCACAGTTTCCAGCTATGTTCCAGATTAATAATCTGGGAAAATAAGAAGTGGGCAGAGGTGGATCTCTAAACGCTTCTGGAAAAATTGCTATTTTTTTGGTCTGTTCGTCGTTGTAAATTGAGGAGATTACGAAGGGCCCCGGGTTCTCAAACTCGGCCTCAAACACCCATCCACGTTGCTTTCTGCCTGGGCACGTGGATGGGCCTCCCGGCAGAAGCAACGTGTTGAGACCCTGCTCGGCTTGAGAGCCACCCGGTGGCTCCACAAAGCCCCTTTGATCATACAACTCTAAACCCTCCCCAGGACTCCCGGGGATTTCTGTCGGGCATCCTGGGGAGACCTCGGGTCACCCCTGGTTCTCTGTTGGACAGCCTTGCTCCTTCTAGACCGTGAGTCTCAGAAGCACGAGAAATGGCCATACCTCCTCCATCCACTCCTGAACCCAACGATGCCCGGCCTATGGCTGGGGGTCAAAGGACTATCAAGTGACCCAGCATCCTCATGACCCTGGACTTGAGGACAAGATAGGCCTACTGTCCTCTGTGGGCAGTAGGAGCTTGCCGGCTTGAGACCTAGGAGCTTGGCCGTGGGAGCTTGCCGGCTTGAGACCTGGGAGCAGAATCCCTTCAGCTCTTGTCGGGGTGTGTCCTTCCCTGAGCTGAGCACCCCACAAGAGGCACGGCCCCCCCACCCCGGGGTGCCAGAAGTTACTTCCTCCATGGTGAGCAGGCAAGAGACACACAAGCTTTAGAATGTACCAGACTTGCATTTCAAGTAAGAAAAGCAGGGCTGGAGGGGTGCCTGGGTAGCTCAGTCGGTTAAGCATCTGACTTTAGCTCAGGTCATGAACTCACAGCTCGTGGGTTCGAGCCCCGCGTCGGGTTCTGTGTGGACAGCTCAGAGCCTGGAGCTCGCTTTGGATTCTGTGTCTCCCCCTCTCTCTCTGCCCCTCCCCAGCTTGCACTCTGTCTCTCTCAGTCTCTCAAAAATAAAGGAAACATTAAAACAAAAAAAATTTTTTTTTAAAGAAAAGCAGGACTGGCTTAGTAGCCAAGGGCAGTCACCGATTATGAGAAGCTGTCACTTACCGAGCTGATTCGCTGGACCTAGGAAAGGTCTGCAAGAAAACCGATACTATTACCCGACATGAAAGACAGATTAAACATTTGAATAACCAACTTCTAAGTGTAAGAGGACATAATTAACAAACGAATTGAAATTAAGCTGTCAATTTATCCTCAAATGAACTAGGCTTTATGAGGGGGATAGAGCCTGCCACCTGTTTATGATGAATGAAATCCCCGCTTTGTTCTCCAAAATCCATTTCAGGGTGGTGAGACCATAGTTCTCGGGGTGCTGAAAGGCCACTCCTTCTGGAAGCCCCTCCACAACCACGGCCGCTGGGTCCCTCAGAATCTTCTCATACGGAACAGGCACCATCGCTGTGGTCCCCAAGGCTTTGCCTAGAAGAGGGGAGATATCGTTAGATGGTACGAACATAAACCCTACCTGTCAGCTGCATTCAGTGCAATAAAGAAACACAGGTGCCGGGGCGCCTGGGTAGCTCAGTGGGTTGAACGTCTGACTTTTGGTTTCGGCTCAGGTCATGATTTGCAGTTCGTGAGATCGAGCCCCGCGTTGGGCTCTGTGTTGACAGCTCGGAGCCTGCTGGGGGGGTCCCTCTCCCTTTCTCTCTGCCCCTCCCACCCCCGTCTCAAAATAAATAAATACACTTTAAAACAAACAAAAAAAGAAAGAAACACAGGTGGCAATGCCCGGCTTTGAAGCCACAGTAAGAGCTGAAGCATCCTAGTCCTATATAACCCGTTAATAGAATTCCCAAAGGGCCACAGGAAAAGCTTATGAGACGTTTTACTTTACATCTTCACATAAGAAAGAGGAAATAACAGGTCTTCTCCATTCGGTTGTAGGTGGTGCACCCAGGGCAGCAGAGGGCGCCCCACGGTTACTCAGTGCCCAAAGAGGATGAGAGCCCCCACCCGAAGGTCCACAAGGACCCTATGTGGCTCTGCACAACTCAGGCCAACTTGCCTGTGGAGAAGTTACGGAGTCAACGTGGCCTCGGGTCACCATCTTGGGGCCGGGTCAGTTGTGCTGCGCTGGCTGGCCAGCCCCCAGGTGCAGGAGCCCCATTTCTCTCAGAAGCGTAGCCTGAGACTCTGAGATCCCCTAGGCTCGAGGTCCCCCACAGTCAAATGCTCACAGGGACCTGCAGGTCCCATAAACGTGTGACGCTCTCTAAAAGTGACAGGACTCTGAGAGGCTAAGGCAGGCGCTTGTGTCACAACTAAGCCCAACGCCTGTATGGTTATTGAGTTACCCAGCTTTTCTTTTTTAAGATTTTATTTTATTTTTTAACGTTTATTTGTGTTGAGAGAGAGAGAGAGAGAGAACAGGCACACGAGAGCAGGGGGAGGGGGCGGAGAGAGAGACAGGGAGATTGAGAGAGAGAATCCCAAGCAGGCTCCACACTGTCAACACACAGCCCAACTTGGGGCTCAATCCCATGAACTGTGAGACTGTGACCTGAGCCTAGATCAAGAGTCAGATGTTTAACCGACTGAGCCACCCAGGGAGCACCTGGGTGGCTCAGTCCGTTAAGCATCTGACTCTTGATTTCAGTTTAGGTCATGATCCCAGGGTTGAGGGGTGGAGCCCCTCGTCAGACTCTGTGCTGAATGTACAACCTACTTGGGATTCTATCTCTCAATCTCTGTCTCTCTCTCTTTCTCTTTACCCCTCTGGCCTTTGTCCCTGTGTGCGCACATGTTATCTCTCTCTCTCTCTCTCTCTCTCTTTCTCTCAAATAAAAAAAATAATAGGGGACACCTGGGTGGCTCAGTGAGTTAAATGTGTGACTTTGGCTCTGGTTATGATCTCATGGTTCGTGGGTTCGAGCCCGCATTGGGCTCTGTGCTGACAGCTCAGAGCCTGGAGCCTGTTTCAGATTCTGTGTCCCCTTCTCTCTCTGCCCCTCCCCGACTTGTGCTCTGTCTCTCTTGGTCTCTCAAAAATAAATACACGTTAAAAAAATTTTTTTTAATAATAAAAGGAGACAAAATTCTGCATAGGCATTAAAAAAATCCTTATCTTGGGGTGCCTGGCTGGCTCACTCGATGGAGCATGTGACCCCTGATCTTGGGGTCATGAGTTTGAGCCCCACATTGGGTGTAGAGATTATATTAAATAAATAAATAAACTTAAGAAAAATCCCTCTTAATGCCTGTGGAAGACATGAGTAGATGGAGGGACGCCTGGCTGGCTCCATCGGGTAAGTGTCTGACTTCAGCTCAGGTCATGATCTCACAGTTCGTGGGTTCGAGCCCCGTGTCGGGTTCTGTGCTGACAGCTCGGAGCCTGGAGCCTGCCTTGGATTCTGTGTCTCCCTTTCTCTCTGTCCTTCCCCTGTTCACGTGCTCTCTCTCTCTCTCTCTCTCTCTCAAAAATAAATAAACATTAAAAAAAAAAAAAGACATGAGTACATGGAGAGACTGATGAGGTTGAGGTTGGTGCCTGAACCAGCAGCGAATGTCTTTAATATAGTTCAGCCTTGAACAACACAAGTTTGAGCTGCTCAAGTCCACGTATACATAGACTTTTTTCAATAAACACATCATGATACTACACATGTATTTTCTCTTCCTTATGATTTTCTGGTTCTTTTTTTTTTTTTAAGAATTTGTTTTTTCAAGTAATCTCTACGCCTGTTGTGGGGCTCGAACTTACAATGCCCAGATCAAGGGTCACGCGCTCCACCAACTGAGCCAGCCAGATGCCCTTCTTCCTGACAATTTTCTTAATAACTCTTTCCTCTAGCTTACTGTATTGCAGAAATACACTGTGTAATATGTATGACATACGAAAGAGGTAATAATGGACTATTTTTGTTACCAGTAAGGCTTCCAGTCAACAGTAGGCTATTATTAGCTGAGTTTGGGGGGAGTCAAAGATTAGATATGGATTTTCGACTGCAGTGGGGGTGGGTGTCCCAACCCCTGCATGGTTCAAGGGTCAGGTACAATTGCGTTGGCCTTGCAGTGGGGGCTCCCTCAAATGGAAGCAAAGAATGTAGAATGAAGGCTGATCAATCAGAGGTTTCTGTGGACCAGCAGAGATCAAGCTGTCTTCTGCAAGGTGCCCTCTGGTCCTGAAGACCTGGCTCTTGGCTTAAGGAGAATGTAGAGTTTTAAATGTTAGCGGCATCTAAACAGTCACACCAATAAAGTGATCTGTAACACTCCAGCTCCTTAGTGACCTATGCCGATCCTAATGGGTGACGTGAACTTTACCGTAACAAAAGCAGAAATAGTCCTCAACTGCTTTTCTGAGTATTTCTGTTTCTCCTGAATCGATCTGCATCCCGTTCGCAGGACATGGGGATCTGGCCTCACGCACCCCTTCGGCAATGCCTGTAAACAAGCAACAGGCACAGTCAGTCTTCAAGCGCTTGTTCCGAACATTCCCTCAATGTCTACGCTTCTGGTATTATACCGGAAAGAGGGGGAAATGGATAAACATAAAACAAGATCTTTTTTTATAAGTAAACTACCCCCAACATGGGACTCAAACACATGACCCCCAAGATCAAGACTCACATGTCCTACTGACTAAGGTAGCCAGGTGCCCCTAAAACAAGATTTTTTTATAAGCATTAAAAAAAAACATTTTAATGTTTATTTATTTTTGAGAGAGAGAGAGAGACAGAGCATGAGTGGGGGAGGGGTAGAGAGAGAGGGAGACACAGAATCTGAAGCAGGCTCCGGGCTCTGAGCTGTCAGCACAGAGCCCGATGTGGGGCTCGAACTCACAAACCATGGGATCATGACCTGAGCTGACACTGGGACGTTCAACTGACTGAGCCACCCAAACGCCCCAAGAAAGGGTATTTATGATGAACAGGATAGTATAACATGGTGGTCACCTCTGAAATGAATCTGTTGATAAAGAACTATAAATAATTCAACACAGAGGGAATAGTAGTAGTTCAAAGGAAATGATAACAAAAATGTTATTTGCTATACGGTCTGAAAGTGACCATAGGAGGACCTTCACCGTGACAAAAGTAGAGACATCAACACAGACATTAAAATTACAAAGCAAATACTATAAACCATTTTTTTGCCCAACAGATTCGACAACGTACATGAAATGAAGAAGTTAAAAATAAAGTTGAGGGGCGTCTGGGTGGCTCAGTGTATTAAGCATCTGACTTCGGCTTAGGTCGTGATCTTACAGTTCATGAGCTTGAGCTCCGCGTCGGGCTCTGTGTTGACAGCTCAGAGCCTGGAGCCTGCTTCGGATTCTGTGTCTCCCTCTCTCTCTCTCTGCCTCTCCCCCGCTCGTACTCTGTGTCTCTCCCTCTCAAAAATAAATAGACATTAAAAATTTTTTTTAAAAATAATAAAGTTGAAAATAAAGTTTACTGAAATGGGCACCGAAGAAATAGAAAGTATGAATAGCCCTATATCTGAAACATGAGTATGCAACTGGGAAACTTAAATCTCAACGATTAGACATCCATCTGGCAACTGACATTAATGAGTTGAGGACACCCTTCCTGTTCATCCATTATACACTTACTGTATTATTTAAAGATTGCTTCATATTTGATCTATCTTCCTGATTGTGGAGACTATAATTTTGGTCTTGGAAACCAATCTGAATCAATCAATCCCTCTCTCCCTCACATACATACCAATGATCTGGACATATGTAAATATTTATTCATGTTCCCATTCCCTCTGACGACCCTTGGAAACATCTACAGCTATATTCATCCGCTGTCTCTCTCCACAGTCCTAATGACATTACATCCTCTCATAACTTTGGTGGGTTTTTTTTTTTTTTCCTTTCTTGGTTCCAGAAAATACTAAGGTGCTAGGTGGATGACCTACCAAGGTAGAGACCATTGCTATACAAGGTGTAGGTTTTAACATCCTAGACTAGGTTCTGTTGCACGTGGCCACATCCACTCACTAGAGCTGCTGGACGCTTGTAACACATTAAAAGCTCTAAAGGGGCACCTGGTTGGCTCAGTCAGTCAAGCGTCTGACTGCAGCCCAGGTCGTGATCTCACAGTGCGTGAGTTCGAGCCCCACATGGGGCTCTGTAGTGAGAGTTCAGAGCCTGAAGCCTGCTTCCGAGTCTGTGTGTGTCTCTCTCTCCATCCCTCCCGCTTTGCACTCTGTCTCTGTCTCTCTCTCAAAAATAAACAAACGTTAAAGAAAAGACAAAAGGCTCTGAAGGTCCCATAGCGAAAAAAGAGAAAATGGTTATTAACTCAATGGACCACCTGACGAGCCCAGAGTTTTTTTTATTCCCTTTCTTCTGGGAACAAGTAAAATAAGAATTTATTTTAATATGGGTTTATTTTAGGAATCAAAGACAATTTACTCTATGTTCCTCAAATTTATTTTATAAAACCAGGGTGCCTCTGAGGACAAAGTACAAAATACACTGACCATGTTTCTTGGACCTATCAGTGTTAAGCAGATATTCGCTGGTATGCCAAGTCAAGAGACGTATCAGAACCATTTTCAGGATAACGTGTAGGCTATTTTTAAAAAAGGTTTTTTTAATATTTATTTTTGAGAGAGAGAGATAGAGAGACAGAGACAGAGCACGAGCAGGGCAGGGGCAGAGAGAGAGGCAGACACAGATTCTGAAGCAGGCTCCAGGCTCCGAGCTGTCGAGCCCAATGCGGGGCTCGAACCCACAAGCCGTAAGATCGTGACCTGAGCCGAAGTCAGATGCTTAACCACCCAACAGCCACCAAGGTGCCCCTGCTGAGACTGTTGTAAAAGAAAACATTACATAAGTCTTCCCTGCAAGTATTTTAAGAGTCATGAATACAAAGGATAAAACTGTTAACACCCACAGTATTTTGCAAAATCCTTCTGTAAATCCGTCCTGGCGTTGACAAAAGCACGTCCTTTCTCGGTTCCAACGACGAACACGTCTGTCTCATACATTGCGATGCAGGCCACTTCTGCCTTGGACTTGGCCAATTCTTTACACTGAAATAGAAAAAAGAATGAAGTATTATATACCAGATTTTGCGGAGCCTAAGAGGGTCTGCTTTAAGCAGAAAATATAGGAGTGCCAGGCTGACTCAGTTGGTAGAGTGTGAGACTCTTTTAACTTTCCTTTTTGAAGCCATCAACTTTTTTTTTTTTAATGTTTGTTTATTTTGAGAGACAGAGAGAATGCAAGCAGAGGAGGGGCAGAGAGAGACGGAGAGAGAGAATCCCAAGCGGGATCTGCACTGACAGCACGGAGCCCAACACAAGGCTCAATTCCATGACCCTGGGATCATGACCTGAGCCAAAATCAAGAGTTAGACTCCCAACTGACTGAGCCGCCCAGGTGCCTCAAGCATGAGACTCTTGATCTCAGGGTTGTAAGTTTGAGCCCCATGTTAGGCATAGAGATTACTCAATTAAAAAAGAAAATACAGGGGCGCCTGGGTGGCTCAGTCAGTTAAGTGTCCGATTTTGGTTCAGGTCATGATCTCATGGTTCGTGGGTTCAAGTCCTGTGTCCGGCCCTGTGCTGACAGCTCAGAGCCTGGAGCCTGCTTTGGATTGTGTGTGTGTGTGTGTGTGTGTGTGTGTGTGTCTCTCTCTCTCTCTACCCCTCCCCACTGGTGCTCTTTCTCTGTCTCTCAAAAAAATAAATAAATAAAGGTAAAAAAAATTTTTTTAAATAAGAAAAGTCCCCCAGGAAAGAAAAATGAAACGCATCCACTAAGCAGATACTATAAACATCATACAACCCAGAGAAGGCCATATTTTTATTAGCCACCTAAAAAATACATATTTGGTCTTCATCCATTCTGTTTCTGGCACAGAGCTCCTGAAAGTCTTGGAATTTCCTGACAGCAATAGTGTCTTTGGTCAAGGTTGATGAGGTAACTCTAGGTAGGCACCTGATGGGGCTGGTGGCCAGGGGAACCGACCGTGTGATTGGAGGAGTGGCTTCCCTGGCCTCTGGGAAGGAGAGGAGGGATAGGGGTTAATTTCAATCTCTAGCAGCCAGTGTTGTAATCAATTGTGCCTATATTATGAAGCTTCCATAAAAACCCGAAAGGACAGAGTCGGAGCTCCCGGGTGGGTAAACACTTGGTGACTTAGGGAGAGTGGCTAGCTGGGCGAGGACACGGCAGCTTCGCACCCTTCCCCCTACCTTGCCCTCTGCATCTCTTGTTTCTGGCTGTTCCTAAGTTACATCCTTTTGTAATCAGCCAGTAATCCAGTAAGTAAAATGCTTCTGGGTTCTGTGAGCTGCTCTAGCCCATCAAGCAAACCCAACGTGGGGGGCTGTGGAACTTCCGATCTATAGCCATCGGTCAGAAGCCCAGCTGGCAACCTGGATTTGATGTTAGTGTCTGAAGTGATGGGCGGCCTCGGAGGGTGGAGCCCTTAACCTGTGGGATCTGACACTCTCTCCACAGAGATAAGAGTCAGAACTGTGTTGAACTGCAGGACACTGGGGCCAGAGAATTGCTTGTTGCTTGTCGAAATTGGGTGCAGTATTTTTACCAGTGACATGCCTCTCCAACATGCCCTCTTCCCCTACATTTTTGGCTACAGACTCTTTGATTGCCTCTTCCCGTGACAATAATTCTGTCATATTTTCTATGGAGAGAACAGAGAGATAACTTAATATTTCCTCCAACATGGTTGATTGCATTTTTATTATTGATGGTAGGGATGCATAAAACATGAAAATTCCTATGTAAGACACGCCAGCTATCATCACAGTGCTACAGGCTATATGCCCTACAGACAAGAATTCTGAAAAATTCTACTTTGTGCGATTCCTTCCAAAGATTTTAAAAGAACGTGTGGTGTACTTGTGACTGCAGATGCTACAGTGGAGAGTCTGTTCTTGACCAGAGAGGAGTTCTGTTTTGAGAAGGCATCAGTGAGAAACAAGTCCCCTATTTACAATTTACCCATTTAACGACTGGAAGGATTTTCTAGGACTAGCTTCTGGCTTCATTCATTCATTCATTCATTGATTCACTCACTCATTCACTCATTCATTCATTTGAAAGAGAGAGAGAGAGAGCACAAGCATGAGCAGGGGAGAGGGGCAGAGGGAGAGAATCTTAATCAGGCTCCATGTTCAGTGTGGAGACTGATGCGCGGCTCGATCCCATGACCCTGGAATCATGACCTGAATCAAAATGAAGGGTCAGACGTTCGACCATCTGAGCCACCCAGGCTCCTCTGGCTCTGCACATTTAAGACCCGTTTTTCTTCTGCTCCCCACATCCTTCTGGAGTTGAGCACATATTCACACCACAGGGTGACCTCAGGTCGTAACATACCCCTTGATGTCCCATCATTGGGTGAGTGGACCCACTGGATCGTAAGAATATTCCTGGAAACCGTTCCCATGCTGGGGTCCCTAGCAATAGCTCACCTCGACACAGAAATGACAGCAAGTCACCTAAAAAGCTAAACTAAAGCCAAACGTATATGCAACTGAGCTTCCCCTTTTGAGACCCCGAAGGTGCCTGTGTCCACTCCAGTATCCCCTGCCACAGGGGATCCTGGGAGGCACAATAACGTCCCCCCAAAGATGTCCATATCCTAATCCCCAGAGCCTGTGAATATATTCCCTCCTGTGGCAACAGGGACTTTGCAGATGTGACTGTTTTGGGGAAGGTTATCTTGGACTATGCAGGTGGACCGAATGCAGTCACCACGTTCTTGATAAGGGCCAGAGGCAGGAGGAAGAAGAAGAGGTGACAAGGGAAGCAGAGGGCAGAGTGGACCCTTGCTGGAAGGGAGCACGAGTCAAGAAATGCGGGCAGGCTTCAGAAGTTGGAAAAGGCAAGCCACGTATTCTCCTTGGAAGCCTCCAGGAGGAATGGAGGCCCAGTGATCCTTTGATCTGAGCCCCATAAAACCCCATTTCCTGCCTCCGGGACCTCTAGAACTGTCTTAACCGTAAGTGTATGTTGTTGTTGTTTTTTAAATTCTTTTAAAATGTTTATTTAGTTTTGAGAGAGACAGAGACAGAATGCCAGTGGGTTAGGGGCAGAGAGAGAGGGAGTCACAGAATCCTAAGCAGGCTCCAGGCTCCGAGCTGTCAGCACAGAGCCGGATGCGGGGCTCGAACTCACACTGCGAGATCGTGACCTTTGCCGAAGTCGGACGCTCAACCGACTGAGCCACCCAGGCGCCCGGAAGTAAGCGCATGTTGTTTAAAGGCACTACGTTTGTGGGACTTAATGACAGCAGCAACGGGAAACGGATACAGGGGTTGTGGCAGCAAGAAAGTGAGAGCAGGAGACAGTGATGTGGTTTTAGCTGATGTGGTTAAAATATCTTACCTAGAGGGGCACCTGGGTGGCTCAGTCGGTTAAGCGGCCGACTTCACCTCAGGTCATGATCTCGCGGTCCGTGAGTTCGAGCCCCGCGTCGGGCTCTGTGCTGACAGCTCAGAGCCTGGAGCCTGTTTCAGATTCTGTGTCTCCCTCTCTCTGACCCTCCCCCGTTCATGCTCTGTCTCTCTCTGTCTCAAAAATAAATAAATGTTAAAAAAAAAATATCTTACCTAGAAATCTGTGCAAATGCATACATGCACATATTGCTGGGGCTCTCCCACAGCCACGGGAGGGGCCACTGCAAGAGGAGGGCAGGAAGTTTAAGCTCTGTTAGCTTCATGGCAAATCTCTCTGTGTTTGTGTCGAATGAACCTGACATTCGGCATTTAATCTATCTGAAAAAGAGAACCTGGTATCCAGTAGAGTTGTTCATTAAAAAATTTAAAAACAATTTTTTTTAATGTTTATTTATTATTGAGAGAC